CTCTCACTCACACTCCCTATCTATCTATCAAGCTATCTATCTATCTATCTATCTATCTATATATCTATCTATCTATCTATCTATCTATCGATCTATCTATCGATCTATCTATCTTTACAGAGATGGAGGACGAAACATGTATAGTGATGTTTGACATATTCTGCCCTGCCATAAAGATTTTCTTGGTATCAGAAAATTGGTAAGCAGCCAATGTTTTCTAACACGATAAAAGATCGTTTTGTAGACTATTTTGAACTTTACTGAATCTCTAAAATATCCATAAAAAGGAAATTTCAGCTATAAGCTTTCTTGCTAGCTAAAATTATGGGTTTTTTTTACTGTAGCCAGGGGAGATGGGGAGATCTTTCAGAATGTCTTGATTAAAATCAGACTTCGTGAATTATAAATTCACTGTCATCCATGCATAGCCTATAAAGATGCTGCAATGTCATTTTATGAGTCAGGTTTTTTGAGACATGAGTGAAACGTGCCTACAAAACGTGTTACTTTTCGGATTTTGGCCCTATGAACACAGGTTCTGGTGCAATTTGGGTTTGTACAATTCATTAGTTTAAAATAGTATTAAATGATTCCAGGAATGTTAAGAAAACGGTAGTTGAGAGTCTACATATTAATATTTGATCACAGGGTCGATTTCACGCCAATATCGCAACACTTTGCCGGTTGCGAAAGGTAACTGGTTTTGTCAGCACGCCTGTTTTCAAGTTCAGTCTCTCAGGACTGAAGAAACATGAATATCCGTTTACGATTTTAACGAAACGGAAGACGAAGTATAAAAAAGAAATAACAATATAATATTATGTACATACCACGACTACATATTGATGGCTTTATTTAATGTTGTTAAAGTCTTTCAGGCTGTTTTCTCACTCCGAAAAGATTAAACTCTGTTTAGCATGACGGAAAACCTGGAGTGTTTTGGTAACTATTTTAGCAACATTGCCGTTTTACTCCTGTTTCGATTGCGTGGTATTTTCTTTGTGAAGGAAAATGTAGTACAATAAATAAGATTCAGTCCGATTATATTCAATTTAGGTCTTTGCCCTCCTCTCTTTCTCTGTCTCTGTCTGTCTGTCTGTCTGTCTGTCTGTCTGTCTGTCTGTCTGTCTGTCTGTCT